ACTACGACAACGTAATCCTCAAATGACATAAGTGCCGACATATTGCGTCTCGCCGATATCGTTAAGACCGATGATGTAATACGGCCGAAAGAGTTAAATCACTAAATACCGTTTTATTACGTGTAGATCGATGAAGACGGTGAGTATCCTACTTGGTTTCGGCGGAGGCGTTCTCTTCAGCACGACGTTCCTTCACTTGATACCAGAAGTTACGGAAGGCGTAGAGAATCTTATCGAGTCTGACGAACTGCCGCAGCTCAGTTTTTCACTGGCAGACATGCTTGCATGCACCGGGTGAGTCAATCCTTTGGCGTCATTACGTATAGATGCAAAATAAAAATCACCTTCTCAGAAACGGAATATCTCTTCATGAACGTGAGATACCTTGGTTTCAATAAGAGGCAAAGAATCATTCGTTACTCGTTTAAAATTGTTGATCTGATCATAGAATCACGATTTTATAAAGGTAATTATTTGATTTTATGAAGATAAATCTTTTTCATATTTAACTCTTTTTTAATTCAATTATGCAATTATTATAACATATATTAATTTTATTCTTTGATGATATCGAATTGGAAGTATCGTTGAAATGGAGCGCTTCAGAATTAAGGAATTAATTACCGCGGATTTCTTCCGTAGCTTCTTCATCATGTACCTGGTGGAAGAGTCTGTGCATACGTATCTCAAGAAGCGACAAATAACGAGGCGGGATAGCAACAAGAAGGACGTGAATCTTAGCACGAACGAATTGGTGGAAAACGGTCAAATACAGCCGTACGCTAATAATAATCACGCCCACACGTAAGCCTGTTTATGTTCGACTTTATCAATCATTTCATATCATCGTCGTGCCGATGATACTTCGCTGGCGCTAAGAAACTGCGAGAAAACTTTATTTTTTCTTAATTTATAGAGGCCACAGCCATTTACCAGCGATAATGACTACGGATGATGACTTCGTGATAACTTCGCTGAGAGGATTATTAATAGTACTCGGCTTATCCGTGCACGAGTTATTCGAGGGATTGGCGATTGGTTTAGAGAGCTCCGCCAATCATGTCTGGTAATTGCATCGCGAATGCGTCTTAATTCAAACCCTAATTTGAACCGCGCTCGTGCTCTAAATTAACCGTTACAAAGGCGGATTGTCAAACCCCACGTACTATAAATATAGTATTATTAACGCAACGGCTCTATGTCTGAGATTATGATGAAAGAAAGTTTCAATATAATTTTGGATCAATCATGCAAAAAAATATTTTGTTGCTCCAAAGAAAGAATTCCGATAGAATTATAGCTGTTTTTTGTATCTGATAGAAAATTATGTATCGTACACATAGAATTTATAGCACAAATCTAAATTCTATCTCATCTGTCATCTATATGATTAGGTGCAATACATATCCAATATCGTAGTACTTGCTAAATAAATAATTTGCACTATAACTGCAAGATCACTTTTTTGAGTAATCCCAAGTAGAACACAAGTCATAATTAAGTCATAATGATACTCTCAAAAAAGTGATCTAGTTAAGAAAATTATCTAAGTACGAAAAACTAGCTAAAACAGATAAATTTGTAGTAAGTACTGCGATATTAGATGTGTATTGTATCTAATCATATAGATGAATTTAGATTTGTGCTATAAATTCTATGTGTATTGTACATAGTTTTCTATTAGATACAAAAAACAGCGATAATTCTAGCTGGAGTAGTAAAATATTTTTCTGTGTGTATCATGGGACGTCATTATGACGTCATTTGATACTTAAAATGAACTTATAAATGACAGATAAGATCGTGTCGATGTTCTTATGATAATTATATTATTACGACTTCTATGTGTTTTACTTGAGATTTTATTAGTATATTTTAGATTCAAGAATCAAATTTAATTAAATTTTCTAAAAATATCATGCTATTAAGCTTAGATTAATAGCTTTAACATTGTAGATTAGTTGACGATTAATAAATCTCATCTTAGTAACCGCGCTACATATTTAATATGGGTTAAACCGCTATCGCGAAACGAAGGACAGCGGTATGACAAACGATACGACTCGTCCGTAGGTACATGTTCCTCGCGGTGGCGTCCCACAAATTCGTCATTGCCTTCTGCATCGGAATAGAACTGATCGCGTCCAGAACCAGGCCGTACCTGTCCGTGATTTACACATGTGCATTCGCCGTGGTGTCGCCGCTGGGAATTGGCATCGGGATGGCTCTCGTCGGCGGCGGAAGCGCGGCCACGAGTGGACCACTGGCAGTGATACTGCAGGCAAGTTTCTCCATCTCTTTTAGGGGAAATACCGGTTTCAGGAAATAAAAAATTTCGATGAGATAATCGATGACGGTAATATGTGTGTCGAAGAAGCTCTTCATATTCAAAGAATCGGAATTCCGCGTAATCTGTGAACTGGTCGAGCAGCAAACACGCGGTATGTACGCAGAAAAAAAATACTCTTATAGCTTTTTTTTCCTTATCTCAGGGATTGGCATCGGGAACTCTGCTGTTCGTGGTGTTCTTCGAGATCTTGCAAGAACATCGCACCGGACTCAGACAATACTTCTCGATTCTCTTCGGTTTCCTTGTGATGTTCTGTTTGCAGATATTGAGTAAGTACAAACGATTTTATTTTGTGCTAACGCACAGCGATGTTTTTGTATCCCTCGTTGATAGCAAGCGCATAGAAATTGGAGTACTTAGCGCTATAAATAAATGCCCGATCTTTACGCTTTATTAAATAGGTTCTTCGTATCTAATAAATGTAACAATTGAGAATTTTAATAGATAAGAATATTGTCTCGCTCACTTATCGACTTATCTGTATTACAATTAAAAGTGCGCGATTTTTCTTCAAATGTATCAACTACTTACTTGTTAGAAAAATCGAAGCACAACAATACGATAAACAGATGCTTTTCATTGTGCTTTTGATCAACACAAGTCAATAAGTGTCGACACGTGTCAATACATGAACGACAATAAGTGTCGTTCTATCTTTATTACTTATTAAATGTAAAGCAAGATAGAACGACTGCTCGAGTCATTAAATAAAAAGCATCCATTATTAAATGAGAATAGTTCACAAAAATAATACATGAGGCATTGATTTAGTGCTTTGTCATGTATTATTTTTATAAATAATTCTCATTCTGTTTATCACATTGTTGTGCTTCAATTTTGCTAAGTAATTGATACATTTGAAGAAAGATTAGTTACATAATTAACAATCAGTTTAGTTTTTTAGTCCCTTATAATTGAAATAATTTTCAATAAATGCGAATATTTCTTTATTAGTAGATAATCTTCTCTCCTCTTCAAACAAAATCTATACATAAATCTTAAGAATTAAAAAATACGTTTTAATTAGATAAAAACACATAAATCTAAATAGAAAAAGCGAAGAAATATTTTGTGAATGAACTTTTAAAATACATCGAATGAGGGTAATGCTTCAAGCATGTATCTGAGGTCGAAGAGCATCGACACAGCCAACACTTATCGATTCTTAATGAGTAATTATTATCGCTGGTCAACAACCAACTTATCACAGTATATAAATATGTGCGCATTCGCGTTTGCAGTTTTAAACGAGAGGATGCGCTTTTGTTGAAGCTAATATTCGAAATGACATGCAGTAAATATGTCATGTGTAAATTGTACATACAAACTGTACATACTACAAGAAGTGATAGCAGAGGGAGAACGGGATGTGGAGGGAGAAAGAGAATGTGGCACAAAATGCAAAGGACATCCTGCCTGATGATTCACGCGGCACGATTCCCGTACCGTTTGAATTTTGTTCGTTTGTGAACACTTTTTCTACATATCGTTAGACGATAACCAGAAAAATTTCGATACGAAAAGGTTTTCCATTTACAGCGTTTGCTTATTTATGAGTCATGCAAATTATTTCTTTGCTCACGTGTTATTCCTCATGCTTCATATACGGTTTATCACTCAATGATCATGAAAAATAGAAGAAAAATCTAAACTATCGCATAAGAAAGTAAACGCAATTATAAATTTTTATTATCAGCTTAAATAACGATAAAGGATGTTGCTATCGTCATTGTCGATCTCGCTTTTATTAGATTAGACAAAATATTCCACAGCTGCTTGAATTTCACGACTTCGGCGACGTTCAATAAGGCGTCCAACACGGTGGTGTTATCCTTTCGCTTTTCGCGCGAAAAGGGTGAAAGTATCATAGAGCCAGAAAAATAATCACGGAGGCGTGATCGTCTCGATAGCCCACATCGTTAAATTCATTTTTTGAAAGCGACGAAAGTACGGTGCCGCCTTTACTTTTACATTTTCTCATCCATATCGCGACGCTATAGAAATAAATCTCTCTCGGTTAAGAGAAATTATTAGTTTCTATAAAATTGCCTCAAATTCTCTCTGTGAGAAATCTAGAGGGTTGATTTTTTTAAGGATCTCCTTTTTCCTCCATTCCTTTATTTAATCTTCTCGTTACATCGGTACTGCTCAAGGAGAGATTCATTTATCTCGCGGTCTAATTCACGGTGCGAATGTTATTCATGACGCTGTGGGCGCGAACGTGGAATAGCCTGCGTCTGCACGCGTGCCCTTACACGAGCGTCTCCGAGTGTCGCCAACGAACTTCTCTCATTCACGCGTGCACGTGTGTACACACTGTACACGCGCCCACGCACGAACGCGTCTACCGCCCGCGCAGGAGGGAAAATACATTGCGCGTTGCTCTTCGCCGGACACAGTTACAGCGATGTAACAGATATTGAGTGCGCCCAACAATGCCAAAGTGTAAAGACAAAGTGTGGAAATTCAACATCTTTTATCTTTTCTCCCTTCCCTTTTTTTTATCTCCTCTGCTTTTCTCTTTTTCCATTTAAATCCTTCCTTTCCTATTTTTTCCCTCCATTTTTACCTTCTCTCTTGACCTTCTTTTCCTTTTTTTTTTTCGTTTTTTCCTTCCTTTTCATTTTACTTCCGTTCGTGTGCGTTTCCATTCTCTTTTTTTCCCCATCGACCTCGCGTGCATTTCGATGAGAAGAAAGAGAGCAACTTCACGAGACCGTCGGTCTTTACGCCACTGAATGAGGGACGATCAGCCGTGGTGCAGGTGCCAGAAAGAGTACGCTAGCGAATGATTGTTGGACAAGGACGAGCGTAGCGGTCGCGGGAGTGGGCAGGAAACGGTTCGGTTCGGACTATGTAAGACGACGAGGCGGCGGCCGAGGGGTCCGATCGAGTCGAGTTTCCATCGAGACCGGAGTGTCCGATCAGCCGTCGCGACGCGTGGAGCTTTACGCCGTTTGCAATCTGTCCGCCTCGTCCAAGATCGTAGGATACGACTAATCAGCGGAAAACCCGATCAGGTTCAATCCCAAGTTTTGTTCCGACTAGGTCACCGCGAACGTCTCGATTATCCACGCGAGAGAGTCTTCGTGAATTGGAGAACGGAACGTCCTCGATAAAAAGTGCAGGATTGAGATGAATCCCGTCGCCGACAGGAACGCGCGATTGAGAGAAGTAGTGAAGTGGTGACGAGGTAAATTCTACCGCGACGTCGGTGTCTTGAGCGGATTTCACTCCCGATATTTTACTCGCGTGTGTTTGACGTGATCGCTTCGGTGATCGATCTTACCGGCGTAAAATCCTTGAAAAAGAAGAGGAGAAAAAATAGAGATCGAAGTTCCTTTCCTCATCATATCATCATCACATACGAAATGGAGGACACGACGTCCGGACAAGATTCGTCCAATATCCTTCTGATGTCAAAGATCGGCGCGATGGTCGGTCTTGGCTTTGGTTCTCTTGCACTGGGAACGCTGCCGTTGATGGTGGGACGTTACAGAGCCAAGAGGCAACTTCGTCAGAAACGTCACCAGAAACGCCAGGCGATGTCTTCCAATTCTAGCACCTCCACGTCCACTTCAGCATCCGACGCTTCCTCGCCGAACATTAATTCGACCTCCGCGGCCAATAAGCAAGTACGTCCGAGAAACGATCAGAAATTTTAGTCACCGACATCTGGTCCACTCGCAGCATCTCCGGAAAGCTCGTTTTTGTGCCAATTATAATCAAATCGACTCGCTGCAGGTGTTACGAAGTCACATTCGAAAAATAATGGATATTATCAAGGATACTCAGTGGAATATCTTTGATACCGGTTGATATTCTTGGATATCTATTAATTCTACCTGTGTTGCATATAGATCGTTTTTTAATTCAGCGATTTTTAATTCCTGAATATCGATTCTGTTCCATTTTATCTTCGTTAAGTGTATAGCACATTCTGATTTCAAATATTGTATAATGTGTTAATGTACGAGTAATCTTAAATATGTTTAGAATGGCACAAAGTTGAGATGAATAATATTTGATTATGTCAGAAATAGGGAAATATTGTTTGCAAAAAATATTTAATAATATTGATCTAACTCATTTAATGATAATCAATCGATCAATATTAATTGTGATCCGGAGTAGCTGCTCTTAGGATGCTCGGTATTTTACAATCGGCATTTATAGACTCTCTGGACTATTTGGAATCAATCTTGATTCTTATAGCTGCAAACGCCGTGTATATGCATCTGGTTATAACAGTGAAGATAAGTAAATTCTAAACGAACAATTACAACTTCTCGTAAATATCACATATTTTATACACATCGTAAATATCACATATTTTATACATATTTTATTACATAAAAAATTGATTCCAAAATGGTCAAAGAGTCCATAGAAATACAAATTCTAAAACGGATTCCAAAGTACCGCGCCATCGTCTTTAGGGTCTCTTGACGTCGCTCTTGCTCTGCTTCGGCGGCGGCGTGCTCCTGTTTACGACGTTCATACATCTGGCACCGGAAGTTCGCGCTAGCGTAGAGACACATCAGTCGAATAAACAACTGCCCGATTTGGGTTCCCTCGGTCTGGCTGAGCTGCTCTTCTGCGGTGGTTTCTTCCTCGTTTATCTGGTCGAGGAAGCCGTGCATGCCGCCCTTACCGGCAAACCCGAATCTTCGGAAGCATTACTCTACCGAACAGTGTCGGTGCGCAGATGCAACAACAATCAAACGGGTCCGTCAGGTTCGTCGGTGACATCGAATGGCTCGATCACTACCGTGTCCACGACGACCAAGTCCACCGCGTGGAAAGACACCAACGATGCCGAGGACAACAAAGATCCGGCAAACCGGCTGAAACTCCAACTCGATGATTCTCGCGATCAAACAGGCAAGAACGATAAAGTGCTGCCGCCTATTTTCGTCCTGCCTGTCGCGTTATCGAACGAAGAACATAAAGTTGTTCGGAGGCATTCTGATCTAGAATTAGCAATTCCAGAATTAAACTACTCGATCAATCATCATCATTCCCATGACCATCATCATCAGCACGGCCCGGTGCAAAACACTTCAATACAAGGACTATTGACTGTGCTCGCGTTGTCCTTTCACGCAATATTCGAGGGTCTAGCGGTGGGTCTGGAACCATCTATCAGTTCGGTCGCATATCTGGCAGCCGCTATCGCGACCCATAAATTGGTGATCGCCTTCTGCGTCGGAATGGAGCTCTACGTGGCCGGCGCATCGACCAAGACCACCCTCGGCTACCTGTTAATCTTTTCCATGGTTACGCCGATCGGGATCGCCGTGGGACTCGTCCTCGCTCATTTCAAGAACGACAGCGAGAATTTAGGACCCACACCCACCATACTTCAAGGCATGGCGGCTGGTACCCTACTTTACGTGGTATTCTTCGAGGTCCTAGCGCGGGAGAGAGCAAACGAGAAGAGCGGCTTGCTGCAGCTAGTCGCAATCATTATTGGCTTTACGCTGATGCTGGGTCTACAGATCGCCAGTGAGTTCGTTTCCAGGAAAACGAGAGAATCCCCCACGTCTCTGAAATGCACCGGAGCGTATCGCGACGCAATACACACCGCTGATGCCGGATAAATGCATTATCGTCACTCTAACGATGTCCTTCGTAGCGGAGCTTATTGCGCGTTTCCTTTCTGCTTTTCGCGTGACCGGTAAATTTCCGCGTGTCAAAACGGGAAATCGCGCACAAATTTATTACCGTATAGTGAAAGTCCATCCCGGTTCCATTAGGATTCACCGGAAGCCATCTCTTCCTTAACTTCCTCGACGCGAATTTGCGTACGAGCACATTATTATTCACAGAGACCAGTTTTATCCTGAATAATTCAGACATTTTTCCTGGTTGTCTTCAAAAATGTATAATATTTCATATGCGAATTATCGATTCAAAATCTATCTTCACTAAGTGAACATGTCGATAAAGCAAATCGCTCATCGCGGCTTCTCAATCGTAGATATTTGATATTCTTTCCATATACAGATAGAGATGTAAAATTACTGTCAAATTCAATTTGACAATAGGGAGATTTTGCAAAAACGTGGATACGATGAAAATCACGTTATCCTTTTTTTAATTAGTTGTTAAAAAGAAGATAACGTGACCTTAGCGTTCACCGTATCTGAATAAACGGTATTGCAAAAACTCCCTAATTACTTGCGGTGAAATTACAGTAAAATGGTAATTTATTAGTAATTTTGATAAAATTTATTGTCTTTATAGTTTTATGTACAAATAGACTGTATTTCCATACTTATGTATAAAATAAAACAACATTCTAATATTCCTAATAGGAATCGTTGAATAACAGAGCTATTCAGAATAACAGGATAAAATTTAAATATATAATTTAATCGGAACAAAGTTCACTAAACGCTGTCGATTGTCATCTAGAGATGTAAAAGTAACAACAAATTTAATTTGACAATTACTTATGGTAAAATTTTAGTAAAATTTTGGTAATATTTGATGCTTTTTTTATAGTTTTATGCACAAATAGGTCTTATTTATATTCTTCACATTGATGCATAAGATAAAACAACATTCTTCTAATATTCTCACCGAGAATATAAATCGCTTATAAAATAATAACCATTCACTAAGTCTGAACGTAAAATCTAATCGATGCTAAAGTCCGTTTTCAATATATAGTTCTCTAAAGATTAAAAATTACCAAAAGTATTTATAAATGAAAATCATTGATGAATCTGTAGGTAACCATATAATGGGGACATTCAGATCCGATTTCACAAATGTAAGATTAACTTTAATTTCAGTTTAACTTACTCTCTAACTTTTTCTTATTCTAGAATAAAAAGATATTGACAACATATTGACAATATGTAATATCAAAATGAAAATATGAGTTAAATAAAGGGTTTTTAACTTTATGGTTAAATGCTTTTACATTAAATTATTTTATTTTATAATTTTTTCAAATTATCATTTTATCAGGCTCCAAAAATTACTGACTAATTTACCGTAATTTACCGTGTAAATTATCGTCAAATTCGGTCATTTTCGTCCCTATATAGCACAGAAGCTTGCAGCAACAGTGTAACGTTCCAGCAATATTACAGTAACATTGCAAACATCACGTAATGTTGCTGTAAACTTCTGTGCTGTATGGGTTGCGATTAAAATTTTTTAAATCGCTCGTCGTGATTGTTCCATCAAGGATATTCGATATCCTTGCAATTAAAATTTTCAGAATCGCACGTCTCGGTGCAAACCTATTACAGGTACGCCCTTGATACACTTCACGTGTTGGTTCTTCGGTACTTGTCTAATCTATCGATTTGTCTTAAACCGACGAGCTACAAACTGAAAAGTCAGGGTCAGGGCAAATTGGAGTAAGAGAAGCGCAGGATCCCTCGTCATAGAAATTCTCGTAGCGTGCAACGCTCGTTTGTTCAGAACTTGCCGCGGAAATAGATCTTATCTAGACGTTCTAGACGTTAAAAAAAATGATATACGAATCAGACAGATATGTGTATATGTATATGTATGTACGAGTGTACAGAATTGAATTATTTGTTCATCACAGAATACCAGCCGATAACAGTTGTTTGCTTCTGATAGTTTATACCACTTTATCATGATTTCAGTAGAATACGGTTAGTGACTTTGATAAAATTGATGGATTCATGACGCCAGCAGAAGCAAACAGTAATTTGTACTAATCGTGAAATGTTTCTAATTCAAATTCACTTTAAAATTATTTCATTCTTTTTTTTTCATAATCAAGAGCATTCGCCTTCATTTTTAAAAATTAAATCTCGACTCCGTCGAAAATGTTCGGAATTAATGAAATGAGCTACTGAGCGAGAATTTCTATGACGAGAGACTCTGCTTCTTCTACTCCAATTGCTCTGACTCTGACTATTCAGTTGTAAATGTTGCATTAGATGCTTATTTAGCATCTAATATTTTTAAACATTAGATAATAAACAACATTTACAACTGAATAGTCAGGGTCGAATTGAAGTAGGAGAAGAAAAGATCTTCATCATAGAAACGTTCTCGCCGAGTAGCACATTCCATTAATTCCGAACATTTCCGACGAACTCGAGACTTAATTATAATATCACTGACATGATCGGTTATTTGCACGCGTGCCGTATACATTATTACTTTGTATCAAATAACATTAAAGAGATTGCACGAGTGTCATTTCATCGAGAAAGTAACAGGTGGGAGAGGTGGATCGTAATATTTCTGTAGATATGTCATCTGTTACGCAATCTTAATTGCATCTTGACCTTCTCGCAAGAGTGCGAAAGATTCGCGAAATCGAGATCGTAGGTGTAACGTTCCGCTTCAATTCTAAAGCTGAATGACGCAAGAAACTAGATGCATTAACAAATCTTAATCTTGTGGAACAATATCATAAAAGTGCACAAATGAAAAAAGTCTAAAATCCGGTAGACCAGATATTGAGGTTGAAACAGAAATTAATCAATCAGAAGAAAGAAAACCAATCTCAAGTTTAGTAAACTTTGCTATGGTCAAATTCAGTTTCAATTTCAATCTCAATCTCTAGTCTAATACGATTTTAGGAACATTAATATAATATAATTTCTATTAAAATGTGATAAAATAGTGCATATGAAGTATTCATTAATTCGGATATATTTTATATAATGTTGTACGTATAAGAAGCAAAATATTATAATACGAAGAAATTAGATTATATGCTTTCTATCCATTAAATGGTTTATTGGAGCATTTATCCTACATAAAATACGAGCTCATTACTCTTACTCGTGTCTGTGCGAAACATGAACTTTTACACAAGTCGCGTCGGCTGCCACATGATTGGCAAATTGCATACGGAAACAACCCACTTCTTCCAAGGCACACGGGTTTCACGTGTGGTGCTGGAATGACGTATGAACACTGTCATGCTGACAACAGACAGACGAATCTCAATCTCGTAAGGGATCTGGTTATAATCCCAAGGCTTTCTCTCCACCCATGGCAATGACCCAGGACGGGTAGGTCGATGGACGATCCGACCGACTTTCGACGGCTTTCTCAACCGTTTGACGTATTTCGCGATGACAAAATTGTCGTCAAGTGTTTGAGTGCTGTTTGGAGAATTTCGTATGTATTTATACATACGTAGAAATTAATTACGGAAGGCTCGATAAGTGGCGATAGTGGAAACGGATGGTGCATGATCAGACGCGTGACATTCACACGCTCAAATTATGATATAACTTTGTCGCGAAATATAACACTTCAAAGGAAATTTTATAATTCATTATTACTAGCATGTTACAAGTTCAAATAATTAATCTGATAACCTAATAACCTTAAACATTATTGTGTTTTCGAACTGTCGTTTCTCTTTATCAATGATAATTAATAAAAACTAATCTGTTACTGTTATCAAATCATTTCATAAAAACGTATTAAAATGAATTAAAATAAATTCACAAAATGTATTTCCAAAGTCAAATAACGAAGTTAAATAACTTATAAAAAAATCGAGATTTAAAAAAAATTTAATTCTTCGTCTAATAATATAATTAATAACAAAAACGTAGAAGAGAGAGAGAGAAACGGAAGAACCCAACTTACGAAAATTTTGCAAAATTTAATACATACGCACGGAGAATTTTCTTTTAAAATTTATTCTGAAAATATGGTAGTGTGGTACAATACAATATTTGAAAGATTTTTACCATGCACTTCACTAAAATTAATCAAACTTGTTTTATATTTTATTGTAGTTTTATTAATAAATGAGAGATAAAAAAAAATCTTCGAAATACAATGTTGTTCCACGACTATCATATTTTCTAGAGTAAAAAGAAAACATTCTCCGTGCGTGAACGCAAATAGTTCAATTATTCTAATTAATCTTCGTAATTGGAGAAATATAACTTCGCCTAAAATGGATCGCCGGTTCCTTTTACAGATCCCGTGATTGGTTCCTTCGCGTGCTTTAAAAATCGCGTGAAATCTCAAACATCTACGCTTTCTGTCTACAGCTGCCCATTCCCACTCACATGATGACAGTGGACACGGACATTCGCACGGTGGCCATGGACACTCGCATGATTGCTATGGATCATCCAACCATACGGAGATAGAAGAGCAACATGATCATGATCACAATCACAATCACGACGTAGTCACAGGAGTGATCGACAAAGTGACAGACAACATCGCCGAGGTTCTCACCAATGCCCTCACGTCCTCGACGACGCCGTCGACGACGGTACAGAGGAATAATATAAACGAGACCAGTCCATTAAATCCTCAACGTAGTTAGGGGACCGATCTTTGGGTTCCCGTAAGTTCCACGCTCCACGACTGAATTCTCTTCAGCAAGAGATTTCAGCGCAACCAAGATCTCTCGGGAAACTCAAAGATCTCGAGATGGCAACAATGCCTTTACTCAGGGGACTCTTTTCGCATTTTTTTTATCATTTAGCAAAGAAAATGAAATATTGAAACGAGAAGAAGATTAGCGTTTTAACCTGATGTCTTAATGTATGACTCTACACATCGATCGGATGGACCGGTAGATGGATGTTTCTGATGGACATGGTGCAAATAGCGGGAAACTCGCTATGTTCGATAAGACGATGTCTTTCATTGCTGCTTTGACTGGGAACGGCGCGACGGAATAAACTTTCAGGATTTCCAATATTTCCGCTGACTTATCGTGACAAACATTCTGAAGAATTTCTCGTTCAAAGTAGCGATCGGAAAAAAAAAACGTTCGCGTGTCGATATATCATATCCGAGTTTATTTTTTTAGATTACGTAATAGAGAATAAGTTAATCCGTAGTGCATGATTATTTAAGTGTCTTCAAGAACTAGATACTCCAAAGTGTGTGTATCTAAAATATTTATTGATAATATATGAAGGCATTCTCCAGAGTTTAAATAATTCTTGATAGCAATAAAAAAAGGACGCTGAGCTTTTTGTTATTGCGAGAGCCGGTCCATCAATTTCCTAATTATTCAACGAATCCAAACAGGCCATGCGCATTTATAGTAAGAATTTTTAATAAATTACCACAGATATTTTTTACAACTGTGTCATATTTTTTTATGCCTAATATAATGGGAAATGGGAAGTTTTTCAGCAGATCTTTTAAGCTCCGTGATTTCCTAAATTTTACCTTCCTTTATATTTTTGTAAAAAAAAAATTAATAGAAAGTTTATTATTTTTACATTAAAAAGGAATATTTGAAATTATTTCAAGACTAGTGAGAGTTTATCCTCGCGATTGGAAAGTGATTGTAGTAAAAATAAATTGCTTGAAAAACGCATATAAAATACGCTTTTCAAACGCTTCTCCACGAGGCAAAAACACTTTCGTAAACGTCATCTGGATTTCGCGTTGAGAGCAGTTATTGTTGGAAAGCATGCCGTGTCATTGTGGTGCGACGAAACAATAGCGGTCGCGAACGAGACACGCGAAGAAGCACACTGCACCATGCAGCGATCGACCAACGTTTGCGGTTACATAGAGTGTCCCTGTTTTCTAAAGTCAAAGTAAAGTAAAGCTTTATCTATTCGGCCTAGTTCCCAAGAAGTCATCCTTTATTTTCAATCGTTTGCTAAAACGCTATCACAATTTTTTTTATAAGTTGAAACTAGATTGATAAAAATAAATCAAATAAAAAAAAGAATCCTATATTCCGTCGAAGCGGATCTTAATGCTTATTTAATAATATTCATGTACAAATTATTGAGGACCAAGATCCACTTCGGCCGAAAACAGAATTCTTTCTCTTATTTGAAAATTTCTTTCTTTTAAAGATATGAAAAATTTATTCTAAATTGATAAAAAGTACCGGCGTAAATAACAGCATAAATTTCTCGGACACCCTGTATATAGACCCTCCGTAAAAAGCTCCCATACGTCTGCAACTCTCGACATACAGACCGTCGTCTTAACAAGATAAATTATCGTATTTCTGCGGTTATAGGGACGTATCGAACGCAATGCATTGCGCAGAATGAGACATTAAGATTCGAGTCTCCGTCAATTAATTGTGTTTAATTTCATCCTTCATGATCAAAGAGCGATCCCAAGATTCGTATCATGAACTTCTCATCTTGAAAGTAGCGATACTTACGCAGTTCCGTTGTTTATCTATCGTTATAAGTAAGTTTAATTAATTCAAGCTTTAATGAGGATTTTCTCGCGTTACTTACGAGCAACGAGCATTGAGAATCAAACGACAGTGAGATTAACTCGCGCTTCGTACAAAGTATCGCGGGCAGTCTCTACATTTATTTGTATTACTTTGAGACCCCCTTTTATCTGGTTCGATGCTCGCCATAATCGTACGAGGGTGCATTAGCACGCGTAAATAAACGATAATAGATAATTTGAAGAGACGCGTTTCAGCGAGACAGTAAGAAAACAAGTTTTCAATTGTGCATACACTTTCGAGTTATTTCAAATATTGAACGACTGTCAGTTTATTTTTTAAACCATTATGTATCATTTAGATATTTTCTACACATAAAAAAATATATACTGTATTTATAAAAATTAATTGATTTACAGTATTTTATATATCCGCAAATATAGCATAAGTTCATCGTAAATATCAAATTTATTCAAAATATATTCTGAATGTATTAAGATTAATATTTCGATAATGATTATTCAATTAAAACAAATTTGCTTATTACATTAAGTCGTTTCTACGATAAAGTTTTATAATATCCTCAAAAAAAAAAAAGTTTTTATTTTGAATACGTTAAGTTTTTAAATTTTAAGTATAGTACATTTTAAATTTTGTAAATTATTGTTTTAAAATTATTATCTTTGTAAAGATAACTGTTACTTAAAATAAAAAAGTAAACTGAGTCATTACTTTTCTTAACAGTAGATTATTTTTCTATGTACACACAGAACAATTTACGCAATGAAGCGATAAATTTTAAACTTCCAAGGTTAATGTAGATAGTGTTTTTGTCTCATTGATGTTGCTATTATTAGCACTGAAATTTTATAGCATACGTAACAGGAAGTATAAAATTTTAAATATTAGCAATGTATTTATGTATTTACACAGCTATTATTAGTTTAGAATAAAAATTAAAAATGCAAAACAGACAAACAGTTGATGGATTTCAGGCAGGTGAGGAGATCATTCGTATGTTTCATTCCTTTTTTTTCTATGGTGTCACAATTCGTATATTCATATATTTATATGGTGACAGTTATCTACATATGATGATTGCATTCTTATGCAGCTTACAAAATATGTTGTCAATAAACATACAACGCTCATACTTCCCGGTTTCCATAAACACACCGAGATTACGAGGGTCTCATTTGAGTTCCCAAAGTGCGTGCAATACATCTTAAGGAACAATTTATAAAATGCCGTTTACCGTGTTGGCGATGCGTGAATGACGAGCGAAGAGAAAAGCGCACGACTGTTTATGAACACTTCGCTGCCAGGTAAAGCCATCTTCAACGCTAGAATCGCCGATATCACATTTTTGTGCGATACGACAATTCACATTTTTGGAATCAATACGACGGGTGCTTTTCATTTAATGACTTAAGTCGACACAAATATCATTCCTCTATCTTTTTCTACATTCAATGAGTAACAAAGACAATGCGACGATTTTTGTCGATTTGTGCCACCAAATGGAAAGCACTCGAGTATCCACTCGTATTTCTTTTCTGTCTTTTTGGTTTTGAAAAAAAAAATGCGCGTATATAAAACTCACGGTGGAAAAAATATTACTTACACATAATTTGAACTCGAAAAAATTTCAGGAATCTGATGAATCAAGTATTGAATCGCTCTCCGTAACCTCCCGTCGCATGAAACGAAAATTCCACAAGACTCGTCGATTTGGGAATCGCATTCAAAATGTAACAGACAAAAGGTGCTGCGTCCCTTGCTCGACGTAGTACATTTTCATTCCGCAACAATTCGAGATACAAATCCAAGATGGGAAAGAAAAGAACAAAAAGTATATAGGAGCAGCCTACTTTTTCGCTATTTGCTCGTCCACAAATTCGAGATAACTGGAGCCGACTTTCAAAAACGCCACTCCAGTGCCGATGCCAGCTAACGTACAGCAGACTGGACTTGGCGGGACTATAGAACGTATCACTGCCCACAGTAAGACAGATCCCAGGCTCAATAATACTGCACCGGTGGCACTGAAAAGTAAATGCGACAAAAATAAGAGATAATTCAATTCTATTCGAAAGAAATATATATAATACAATGTCTCACAAGAGCATATACACATTTGCACAAGATTTATGAGAATTTAAAAAAGAATATATCATTTTAAAGTACATTCAATAGCCTGTTTCGTCATTGCCTAATGTTGTACAATCTCCATTGTGTGCTTTATATTTAGTGACAGAAATCAACATTGTTCTTTCTTGGCATTTAACGATTAATAATTTTGTACATATATACATTTTCCCTGAAACTTTCTCTTCATAAATGCTCAAAAATTTTCAATTGGATTCATATTAGAAGATTACATCAGCCAGTCCAAGGTCATAATTTTCGAACTTCCAAGTAGTGCAATTAATTAGAACATAATAATAAGATGTGTTTTCCATTTAGCAACACAAATTGACACAAGTGTCTGTCTTTGTTACTCACTGAATGTCAAGAAAAATAGAATGATGTTTGTATCAATTTATGTCACCAAATGAAAGACACTTATAATGCATATACTCTTGTGAGACTAAGGCTGCGTTCCGTTTTGCGCATGATGCATCTTTTATTATTGTTATTCACCGAATGTTAAACAAAGATAAATGATGCATTATGCACATCATGCGTGAAACGGAACGCAGCCTAACTGTACATATCACCAGCATGGGATCTCACCTGTATAGAATTCTCACAGACTGTGGTGCAGCCTTCATGTGTTCACGTGTGTAGATGTAAGATCCGGTACCGATAAGCGTACCAGCTAGTAAGAAATTCGTAATGTCTCTCTTTGGAAATACTCTGAAAAAAAAAAGAGTACTATTTATCTCTTTTTTAATTCTCCATCTCTCTTTTAATTCATCATTTGCATTCTGCGACTTATTGAAAACTAACAATAAGTTAAAATATAATATACATTCTTCTGTCGTAATATCCACGCAAATTACATAGTTACGTAATAAGAGAAAGAACGACAGAAGAGGACTCGTCATAGTCGTGTTGAATTGAACGACGAAGTGGAGCTTACTTGACGACGAGGCTCGGGTTCATGACATTGATGGACATCGAGGTGTATGAGACGGCGCCGAATGCTGGCGCGTAGAACTTGGCGATGCTGCACCGCGTGACCGGTCGCAAGCCGAGCTTCTTTACGATCGTCGAGCAGCAACCGCCGCCGTTACCGCTACCGCCAGCGGCATCGCCGCCGCCGTTTCCCGTTCCGGACATTTTTTCCTTCGTCGTGTTGACGCGTTCTCCCGTGCCGTTGTCACTGGAAAATTCCTCCTCCGGAGAAGTTATTACTTACTAACTATCGCCGCACGCCAAGTGCCCAAATACCGTCGTTTCGCGTACTTTGGTCGGTAACCTTCGCACTCACAAGACACATACACAGTTACATACGCGCGCACACGATGGGTGCGTTCAGCAGAACGTTTGTTTTGCAACTGTTGTAAGTTTCCTTCGCGCTAATTGGATCATACTTTTAGATCTAGAAGAATGGTCCTATCTCAGCAGACAATCATAAAACGGTTTTATGATCCAATTAGCGCGAAGGAAACTTCCAACAGTTCCAAAACAAACGTTCTGATTAGTTGATTCGGTTATGCACTATGCGTTATGTAAGAGTCTGTGCTGCGACCTTAAGTCCGGATCTACAATAGGTTTTTAAGTCTTAAGTCATAAGAAAAGGGCGAATCACAGTCGATTATTCCCCTCGGATTCGACTGTAATTGGTCAATTTCTTACGACTTAAGGCTTAAAACACTTATTGTTGATCCGGGGTAATCCGTTTGTGAAACTAGTGTCTTTAGTTGCCCCTGTTACGTCCGCACAATATTTTTGCCCTAGTTGGCTAGTATATTTCCGCTTTTCCATCGCCGACGCGACGTAACGCCGCCTCCACAAGTAGCGACTCGAGCGTTTCTCCGGCGAACACACCGCTACGAGAGACCTGCCTTAAGGCAGGCTCCCCCTATTACGTAACACTTTGAATGCGTGGAGTGGGGCGAGGGAAACCTAATCCTTTCGGAAGGATGCGCCCTCGCTCTCTCTGCTTCCGAACTTTCAAGGGAGTTGATCTAACGTGAAGACCGCCTGCCGCGTCATTCCAACAACTTGTAAGTATTGAACACTTATTCTCAAGGTGTTCCTACTCTTTTGAGTAATCCCTCTAAATCTTACTTTATCTTACTTCTACGAAATATCTTAATTCTTAGCCTGCGCACTCAGTAAGTACATACGACGCCTTATAAATCAACAATTTGTAATCAATACTAATTCCACAGACTTTAGCATCAATAATTAATTGTACGACCACGTATTAAGTCGCTAAGTAACCGTAGCCTAACGATCTTTGCGTAGTATAGTAATTCTAGCATGGAATTGTGTATCTAATTGGTAACTACATATATATATATATATAATCTTATTTTTCCAACGTAGTTCAATGTTAATTCCTTACTACGTCTCTCTAAACCCTCACGAGGACGGTGTAGTGGATTTGGAACCTCAGCGTAAATCACTGAATCACGCTACCACTACCGGGTTGTGGAAGATTGCCACGTCGTGGTGTCGCTCCAGAGAATTGTCAAGGTCGGTCAAGAAAAGTCAGTTACTCATCGCGTCGGTTCCCCCACCACGTTGCCTAGTACCTCGGCCACGTGGAGCTTGGGCGCCGCCATATTAACCATAACGAGTCATCGCGTCTTGCCCTCGTGCGTCGCGTTTACGTTTCGCGTGATACTGCATGCCGCTAATCGCATGGGCTGACGCACCAACGGTAGCCAATCAAATTCATCCTATGATGACTCGTTATCATGTGCCCCAATAACGGAATGCACAGTGTAGGTACCAATGATATAATTTATATTTGTAAAAATCGCATTTGTCGATTGTGACATAATACCCCAAAGGAAAATGGAATTATAAATATATGGAAATTAGATATATCTCTTTACATGTAATAATATTAATGGGATTCGATAGTGTACGTCGCTAATTGGCCAGTTTAATATAATATATTCTCATTAGTAAAGCAGAAAATTACTAGGAACCATGGACGTATGAATATCTGGACGGATCTGGCGTAAAGCCAGCTTATGGGCGAGGGGACGAGATCCGCGCGACGAGGGGGTCGGCCATCTTGTCTGGAGACATTTTAGCGCTCTATTTGAAAATCGATATATGTATTATGATATTATTTATATTTCCAGTGCATGAAAATAGGATCACTCATCAAAGGTTGCTTTCTTTTTGTAAAGCACAAAACGCGATCGACAGTTCTGGGGACTTAACATGAAAATTCTATGTATTTCATGTGCGATAGGCTTAAGCGGGGAGCACAGACTCTTGCATGATACATAACATGCATAAGTAATGCATAAGAAAATAAACTAATCAAAGTCCTTCGTTTTCTTCCTTTCCATGAAATAAACTTTGAATGGATGAATTTCTTATGCTTTATGTGTTATGCGTTATGCAAGAGTATGTGCTCCCCGCTTTAAAGTCGGAGCACAGACTTTTACATAACGCATAACCCCGGATCTACAATAGAGTTTTAAGCTTTAAGCCATAAGAAATGGACGAATCATAGTTGATTATTCTCCTCGAATTCGACTGTAAGTCCGGATCTACAATAGGTGTTTTAAGACTTAAGCCGTAAGAAACTGACCAATTACCCCGGATCTACAATAGGGTTTTAAGCCTTAAGCCATAAGAAATGGGTGAATCACAGTCGATTATTCCCTTCGGATTCATCGGTCAGTTTCTTACGGCTTAAGTCTTAAAACACTTATTGGAGATCCGGACTTAGGGCCATGGCACACAAAAAACTTAAGGCAGTAAGACGTAAACAGTAAGGAAATCAACATGTTGGATTCGCTACTGCTTATGTTATGGTCTTATGGACTCTACTGTGATTGGTCAATTCGCTTACTGTTTACATTTTACTGCTTAAGTTTTTTTGTGTGCCATGGCCCTTACAGTCGAATCCGAAGGGAATAATCGATTGTGATTCGCCCATTTCTTATGGCTTAAGGCTTAAAATCCTATTGTAGATCCAGGGTAATTGGTCAATTTCTTACGGCTTAAGGCTTAAAACACCTATTGTATAATAGTTAAAAAATTTTTTAACATTCTTTTGATTTTAGTATAAAATCTACTGCACCACCTCTAATTTTTGCGGGAACTTTGTGAAACAAGGTAATAAAAAGTGAAAAATTATATAATTATCTTCCCTAAATAGCAATTTTATTCCCAACTTTTAAGCGTTAAGTTAGGTTGTGAGATAACATCCCAGTGAGAGAAATGACAATGGAATCGACATCGAATTATATTACATTCTTTTAATGTGACTTTGATCAAACTTTGATACAGATTTCATTTCATGAAACACTGAAAAATGTAGCCACACATGTGGCCAGCCCAGTAAGAAATGACAATGGAATCGACATCCATTTCATTGTCTTTTCTTACTGGTATAGCCACGTGTGACATTTTTCAACATTTCATGAAATGTACCAAAGTTTGATCAAAGTCACATTAAAAGATTGTAATATAATTCTGCCAATGATTTTATTTTTTGTTTACATGTATTTTATTGCGGTTTATTACTGTTTCGTACATTATGTATAAAAATTCAGTTCGGTATATAATAATTGTACATCGTTTTCCGTGTGTCGAACAGCGAGGAATGCCACGATTTAGTCCAGATCTATAATAGGTGTTTTAAGACTTAAGCCGTAAGAAATTGACAAATTTCAGTCGAACTCGAGAGGAATAATCGACTGTGATTTGCCCATTTCTTATGGCTTAAGGCTTAAAACTCTATTATAGATCCAAGGTTAAGTCCGGATTTACAATAGGTGTTTTAAGACTTAAGCCGTAAGAAATTGACCAATTACAGTCGAATCCGAGGAGAATAATCGATTGTGATTCGCCCATTTCTATGGGCGATCCGGAGTAATTGGTCAGTTTCTTACGGCTTAAGTCTTAAAATACCTATTGTAGATCCGGATTTAGGCGTCGTCTACAATATGCGAAGTAATGCGGGGTCTACAATAGAAGTCGTAACGGTCGTAGGGTCTTAAGTCATAGAAAATTGATCAATCATAGTTGATTATTTTTCTCAATATCATTTGGATTGGCCAATTCGCTTACTGGTTACGTCTTATGGTTTTACGTTTTTGTATATGCCATAGGCTTTACGGCCTAAAAGCATAAGTTCTGTGGCCAATATATCGTCATTTACAACTTAGGTCGGAATCCATAGTTCGGTCTTAATCTCAAGTAATGTCTTAAGATGCTAATACGACTCTCTGATTGGTTCATGCACTAGCTTAAGACCATCTCAAATCTTGAGCACCGTTTATGGATTTCGCCCTCAAAGCTTACGGCTTATGCTTGGTTTATGCTTCGGTCTTAATCCTAAAATCTTAAAATTCAGCCAATAGGGCTACCAGTCTTAATTGGTCCTAACGGAAATCTGTATTCCATTGGCTGAATTTTAGGATTTTAGGGTTAAAACCGAAGCATAAACCAGGCATTACGGCCTCTTAAATCAAGGTTATGGACCTAGCCTAAAACAAAATTATAGACCTAGCTTTATGCAAGTGGTCAATGGCAATAGCATTAGTAGATAAGCATGTAAGAATAAGAAATTGACCAACCACAGTCGACTATACTTTTCACATTCGACTATGATTAGTCAATTTGAATATTACTTAGACACGGATCGCGTAGTCCATTCTCTATAACACTCTATGGCCCGTACTCAGAACGCGTTTTTATCGATAAAAACGCGTTTTTATCTCTGACATTCTGTAATATGTGTGACGTAAAGTATGTTAGCGCGCCAACATCATTGTAAGCGCGTTCTGAGGCTGTGTTCCAAATTTACTGCCAGCACAGAAAATGCTACAGTTTACGTTATGTACACTATAGATTTTCAGTACTGGCAGTCAATTTTGGAATACAACTTGAATACGGGCCTATGTCTTTGCTCGGCATCGTTTTATCTCACTTAAACGCATACATCTGTCCTTATCTAACATGCCTTATCTAATATGCCAGCACCATCTATTGCAAGATCGCGCAACTACTACTACATGGAATTTCGGCTCTGTTGAACAGTCCCAGTCTTTGCCATAGATATTTATATCTAACACTAGATCGCTGACTCCCCTATATACTGTGCATAAAAATTGATTCCAAAACCTATGTATTACATAGCGTGACGTAGGAATAAAACGGTCACGTGGTCACATAATGTATAATGGTCGCGATAGGTCCACATCAGCCACATGTTTGTATAATATTCGTGCTTTTACATTAAAAATCATATTGCTGATATCTTGCCACGTGAAAAATTGTCATGGTTTAAGTGGAAAAAATCCGGAGATAATATTTTATAGG